TAACCGCCGAATGGCATTTTTTTTTACTTTTTTCATTAGATCTCCGAAACCGCTAGACCTGCCTTCATGAAAATTTTATCAACTCTTCATCTTGCCAATACAAGTAAAATGATTTTTGAATTATTCAAATCGGACGCTCCGTTCTCTTAAAAACTGACTTACCGTTTCGGCACTTTTTGCCCCGTATCTTCGGAACGGCTAGACCTAACTTCGCCAAAAACTAATCAGCACGTCTCCTTATCAGTACGAATCGAATGTTTTTTGAATTATTCAAATCGGTTGATCCGTGTTCCCGAAATCGTCGACGAAAATTTGTATCCGCACATACATACACACACATACATACACACACACACATACATCCATTTTTTCTAAGGTATGCCAAAATGTTCAGAAACCTCTGAAACGTAAAGATATATAAAAATTTTCATTTTCGATTTTTTTGCGATTACTATAACTTACCCTACGGGAAGTTAAAAATGCCGAATAATCTAAAAGGTAAGCGAAGTAATATTGCACAAAATAACACTAAAAAGACGTTATGAGGGCAATCAGTTTACCGATAAAGCAGGTGAAAAAATTGACGCCAGTACAAGTCATAATGAAAGTGCCAGTGGTCAAGATATTCTAGACGTAGATTTAGCTCCATTACTTGGTAAAGAAATGAAACAGCATCTTTCACCAATTTATGAAGATTTGTCCAAAGATGATTTACTTGAACGATGCCTTGATGATCATACGCAGAACGCGAATGAAAGTTTCAACGCGACAGTTTCGCGACTATCACCAAAACACCCACATTGTGGACTAGGGTAGTTGAAATTTCACCATATATTGCAGCTAGGATATTTATTGAAGGTTTTAGTTCAATATTAAGAATAATGAACCTTCTGAATTTGACTGTTGGTACTTATGCTAAAGCATATGGTGATAATACTGATGAGGCGCGAATAACTTGACAGGATCGTAGCAGCCTTTCACAAATAAAAGATGCTGATACAGCTCACAAACAACAACTTACAGAAAATCAGCTTTTTGAAGATAAGGAAGAACTATTGTATGGACCTGATATTGCAGATTAATCGGTAAGTAACTAAAACTGGTCATTTTCCTTTACTAAATCTTTAAACGCGATTATCTCAAAACTGTGTTTTCAAAAACTACTCGTGTTGTAGCTCGAAAAGTTATGTATCGATTTGTCTGAAATTTGGTGAGGCCTTTCTCTATATTATTATCGGAAGGATAAACCTAAATCTTTAGATATTTCGCGTTTATAAAATATTTTCTGGAGCCCAAAATGTCAAAAAAAATAGCCAAAAATTCAGATTTTTTTTTTCAAAGGCTTGTTTTTCATTGAATTTTATACTTTTTTTCAATTTTATAGGTTTATCCTTCCCATTGATATGTTCTCAAAAGAAAACATTAAAAAAAATTTTTTTCAGATCGACGGTTGATGAGTGAGAAATACAGCAGTTTTGGACCTCGCGCCGGAGGCAGTCCACAAAAAGTTATGCTGAGCCGCCATTTTGAAATAATGTTTTTTTTTATATTTTTTTGTATTCTAAAAGGATTAAATAAAGTTATGTCAAAGTTTAAAAACAATAAAATTATTCAATCACGTTTAAAAATATTTTTAAAATATGACCTATTTTCATGCGTCTATATGGACTTCCCCCCTTAAGCCTTTTAAACGTGCGGTTTGCGACCACAGCTCTATGCAAGCATTCATGCAATAATCCAAGGTTGCAATAATACAAATTTGATTGATTATATTAATAAGTGCTATATATTTTTGAATGATAATAGTTTTAAACTATTTACAGAAAACATAACATTGCATTTATGTCGCAGTCATTCCACAAAGAGACAAAAAAAAATGCAAATAGTAATCAGGAAATAATATCGTTATCTGTAAGCTCAATTATTTTTCTTTTTAGGTGAAAGATGTAGAGATTTAAACCATGCTCGAAAAATGTTCACTCGTATTGTGTGGATTTTAGGTAGCAAATATCAATGTACTAATAGAATTAGCGATCAAGGAAATAAATCTATTAGAAAATAATGACTCAGTATCAAAAAGATAATCTTGACTGATGCTGATGTTTCAGAAATAACAAATGATCGTGTACAATGTCAAGATCTTTTACGAAATAGTGTATTTATAAAGATTTCCTTCATATTAAATGCAAAGCCGAAAAGATTATGCCGAAAGAAACACTTACTAATCGTTTTGCTTTCCAGGTTTCTTAAATTATGTAACGGACAGGTATATTCCAATTATACCTTTGTGGTTAGGTCTAATGCTAGATAATGACAGAAAACATTTCTATTCAAATGCTGCTGTCGAATTATTTTTCAAACACTTTAAAGAACAATATCTGCCATGATTATAAATATATGAAACAGTCACATTTCATAAATACAATTATAAATTTATTGACGCTTTATAATAATGATTTAATAAATAAACGCCCTGTAACACAGCAACTTAATCCTGAGAAGAGCAACGAAAGTTATATTAGAAAAAAAAGAAGAAATGCAAGTCAGAAGAAGTTAAGCATGGAAAACAATATTAAAAAAATGAAAAGAAGCAACACAGTAAATAAAGTAACTAAAAAATTAAATGAGCACCATAACACCACGACAGTAAATATTAGAGATGCAAAGGAAATATGAAACAAAAAATCTAATAATCTGGTCAATTTTTACTTATGTAGGAAAATTGGCAAAGGAAAAAAGCTTTTTCTTTGCATAAATGCCTAGACTCAAACAACTCTGCTTACTCTAGTACAGAACTAAAAAAAGTTTTGTGCTCTAACAATAATGTAGCTAAGGATTTTCATTTCTATATAAAACCCTTCATGTATAATAGAGATATATCGTATACTATAGGATTTTTTGGTAAATATGCCATTAAATTGAATAATTTTTTCACTTTGTGTGGAAATGAGTGGTTAGATGACATAATCATTGACTCTTACTTAGCATCAATTAATTATAATAGGAAAAAATTCTACATTTTAAGTGTTCATGAATATGATCATATTATAAATTATAATAATGATAACTTCATTATAAAATTATCATCAGGTCTAATATCTAGCACCAAATAATATTAATAACCATTGGCTCTTAGTTTTAATAGATACAGATAAAAAACAATTCAGTGTTAATTCTTGCATTAATGCTTTAAAGGACAATATTTAGTCAATTTCAAAAAAGCTGTTTAACTTACAAGAAAGATTCCATTAAATTCCAAGTTTTCACAAAAAAATTTCTCCTCAACAGATCGATAGTCATAGTTGGGAACTTTTCACAATCAAAAATGCATACTGTTTAGTAAATAACACTGAATTAAAAAATTATATAGTAGTAAGTAAAATATAATTCATGGTATGAACATGAACTAAATTCAGAATTAACACTTATCAAATGCAAAAATAATTATAATTTTACAACAATGTAAGTAGAGCTGCTTCATCTTAATATTTGTTCGTGGGATTCTTTGATAATGGGATAAATTGCCCAGGTGAGTTTGTTTTCATATTATATTTGCATTAATGGTATTGCATTTTTTTCATTACAGGAACTCTGACCTTCAAAGTATGTGGTAAATGTGATTGTATGTCAATCAACACAGAAACAAATACAAGTTAGCATTAATAATATATATCTTATTATATATATAAAGTTAACGCCTAAAATACTGTCCGATTTAAAATTTGTTTTGCTCATCGTGACATGTGGATTCCATTTAGGCGGTGGGGTATATTAAATATCTCAATTTATAACCAAAAATTTATATTACTAAATGAAAAAAATATTTTGACGTTTCTTCGATAAATCGTTGAAACACAGAATCAGTTTGAGCTCCGGCGAGAGTCTAGTAAGTCTAGACTACTCTAGACCAACAATCATAGAGCAACGATTCGAACGCAAGAGTTTATGATGCGTTTCTATGGGCTATGATGACGGTTTGATATCATAATAATTCGTGCAATACTGTGCGAGGATGATTTTTGGACTAAGTTTAAAGTTATCACATCAAATTTAAAAAGCATGTTTTTAGGACGCAAATGCTGCAGGCGCCTGGACAGAGCAATTGACAGTATTCTAAATGTTGAAAAGTATGCGTTTCACCATAAGATCCAAAAAAAAATATTTGTGTATACCAGCGCCTTACGAAGGCTGACATATATGATAACAATATAGAAATGGCTCTTCGAAACCAAAGCCAATAGCAAAGTCACATGAAATTGAAAGAAAAGTGGTGCATGTACATGTGGAAGACACTCATTTTTCCAAAATGTCGTAAATATAAAAATCGTAAATATAAAAAAATAAAATATTCAACTTGAGTTTACATGGTACAAGCAACTACATGAAAAAGCATACTTAGGTAAAATATGGATCTACAACTTGAGAATTACAAGCATTGAAACGTATATGGAACTAAAAAATATAAAGTAAGTATTTTTGTTCCTGATATAGAAATTGAAACTTAAATCATAAAATGCGCAGTGTCTTGTATATTCAAAAATAAATCTTATGCGACATTAAATATGTATAGGTTTAATATAGTGGTAAATACAAAAAAATGAAAGAAAAAACATAAGAAATATGTTTTACTTTTATCATTATAGCGATAGTATGTGCTATTAGTAACTATAATTATATTATTAATGATTTATATGATTTTACATTCATTTAAAAGTTACCACATTAAAACATATGTATGTATTGTAGAGATATATTTCAGCGTTAGTAGTTTTCCAATTATAAGTATTAGTGAAAAACAAAAAAAAATTATTATATCTTATAAGTTTATCCTACAAGTTACATGTGTTGATCGTTGAATATTTCAAATTAGTTAAATATAGCTTATTGCATTAAAAACTGATTATTCTTCAAGGATTTCTTGATATTTTGAACTATCAATTCAAATTTTTAATATTGATTTCGAGTGCAAATCGATTTTATTCTTTATTAGTTTTCCTTTATATAATATTCAAGCTGTATGACATGTTTCAATTTCCTTCGAAATAAATTTAACAAATTTGGTTATATATATTATACACATAAATAATTTGGTAAAGATTGGGAAGGACTTTTACCATAGTTCAGGTAAGTCAGGCAATTTAGTTGGACAAATTAATCTTGACTTTGAATAATTTATACAAGTATTGAATTATCTTCGTTTGCCTATAGATTACAGCATTTGATACATGGTTAAGATTTGCGTACAAATTAAAGCAATCCTCTTGAATGAAACCTTTGAGCGAATATTATTTATTATGATGTCACTACCTTCTTTGATAAACTAAAGTCAATTATACCATTTGATCCATAGTTACGAAATCCGTACGAAGTCTATGATCCTGATTAATTATGTATGGTGATGAAAAGCCTTCAAGCTAACACTATTTATTGTGATTCCTGTTCCAAATATCTCCAAATTATTAAATGTGTCAAAATTCCTTCTGCGACTGAATTATAGATATCATTTTATTCAACATTAGATTGATCGTCGAAGAAAAATATTCTAGCAGCCAAATAGATCTAAAATTAAATAAAAAAAACTGTTGAAGTATGAAGTATGAAGTACTTTGCATCCGCCGCAAATTTGATATCTGGTTAATATGATAAATCCATGGCGGGTTCTTCTATTTGGTTGAAAACTGCTTTGAGTAGTTCACAATCATAAAGACATAAATGTCCATGACTAGATTGGAACTAACTTCTATTTGGATATTTCAAATAGTTTGGCATAATAAAGCCATCAAATCATTGCCATCACAATGATCATTATAAATCAAATTTTCTTTTTCATTGTCATGTGTGATTTTTCAACAAATAGACTAAGAAAATTGTAATGTAAATAAATCACAATTACTGATACTATCGAAATCAAAATTGTATATGAATACCGTGTATTATACACTAAATCCTCGTGTTATGCATTTGTCTCAACCAAAGTTAATTCTTTCATTGACATGTTATATGCTCATGTTATTTTACGTAGGAGCAAACCTATGCTCTCTTCAAACATTTATATCGTCTGTCATATTGAAATAAATGAGTCATTATAGTAAATATTAATCATATTACTTGCTATCTTGTTTCACTTCCAAAAATACTTAATTGTTCTGCAATAGATTCGCAATTTCGTTATTATATTATCGTTAGTTATTGTTGAACCTCAATAACAGTGCTTTTACTTCAATTCAGTCATTATCTCTTGTTTCATGTAGGTAATAATTTTTCATTCCATTTATAATACTCCTATTACCATACTCTATCATTTTAACATTTCCTATTATGTTCTTTATTATTAATTTTATTTTCTTATCTTAATTATTTATTTTATTTCCAAATTTGTTTTGTTAGCATTCAACAAATAAAGTTTCTTCGTGACTGCTATATATTTTAACTAATTTTACATATTCAAAGACTAAATCACACATTATTTAGTATTATTATCACAACATTGATTTCGAAACAAATCACAATTCAAGAAAACTACCGACAAATTTACAATACATTACATACTGATTTACCAAAACGTTTGTTTTTTTAGATTTATTTTCGCTTAACAAGAAACTCATGAACAAATAAAATTATATGTAACATAGTAGTACACGTAACTAAACAGCTCAATATCATTCGGACGATTTAAAAAATAATTTAAAAAATGTCACATTCTAAGAATTTTCTAGATTTACTAAAACACGAGTTATGCTTTTTATGTAGTGGATTGGCATGCAACACTCTACCAAATAGAAATAAGAAATTTGAATATAAGAATATTTGAATATTCTTTAAATTCAAGATGTATAACTTGATGTTGCATTCTACAATACTAGTATTCTATTGATATGTTTTGGATTTTGAGTTCTCTACATGGTGCACCACTAGTACTACAACCTGGTAATACTTTAATTGCAAGTATTACCTTGATAAGATTTCCATTAAAAAAATTGTCATAAGAGTATCGTTTCACTCATCTTCAGTTGAATTTTGGACAAATAATGAAATTGTTCGCGCCAAACACGCAGCCTACATACGTTCCAGCAACGTCGTAATTTACGATAAGGATGATAAATGTGGACATATACACCTTCGTGGGCTCTCAATGAAGAAAATAAAGTATTTGTGGCCAACAGGTAATTCTCCATTGAAGGTTCATAAAATGATTAAGGGGTGTAAGCCCCTCCCTGATACTGTGAAATGCAATAAATGTCACGGAGAGTTGTGTAGCTTCATCTTCAAATTATAAACTAATAAAAGTACACATCCTGTGTTGATAGTGAACAGGAGAAAAACGTAGAAATAGATGATAACCCCAATATAGAGAAAGGTACATTATTTAATACATTTATATCATATCATTCAACAAAACATTCATGTTAATATTTATTGCAGAAGTGATATGTGAAATTGAACATGGAGAAGTAGAGAAGAGTCCCAATATGGAGACGGGTACATTATTTAAAATTTATATATTTAAACTATTTATTAAAATCTTTTAAATTCCAATAAACCAATTCATTCGTCTCAATATTTGTCGCAGAGAACAAGTTGAATATTATCATGAACACTCTATCCAAATTATCATATGAAATTAATGAAATGAAGGAAGACAGAAGGGAGCTGTTGTCCTATAAGAGGGATTCCGGTTACAGGTAAACCGGTCACTGGTAATTATGCACCGTGAGATATTTTTTTTGAGTGATCTTTTTTATTTAAATAAATTTAATTCGAAAGAAAATTGGAGCACTCCAAAGCGACAAAGGATGTTTCTAAAACCATCAATTAGATTTACACCAGTTTCTCGCAAAGGTATATGCATTTGAAAATTATAATAATATTAATTACTTTTATTTTTAAAAACTGTAAACTATTGCAGAGAGTCAAACAAAAACACAGCAATGCCTTGACACCTCGAGCCCATAAGATGTATAACACATCAAAAATTTTGATACAGGAGGTGCGAAGAATTAATAAACAAAATACAAATTTATGGGATGAATTTCAGCAGAGCATCAAATGTGCTGAAAAATTCTCTTGTATTCCAGCAACGTTAAATTTGATGGCAAGTCATAAAATGCCAATTGAGAGAACATACAAAAAAAACCGAATGGAAAAAAGTTCACATTTGAAGATAAAATTCTGGCATTGACATTTTATAAAAAGTCGCCAAAGGCCTGCTATGTCTGGAGGCAAATATTTATATTGCCGAATCTTCAAATTAAGAAATTTACTGTCGCATATCCCATTACATGTTGGAATTAACGATAAGCTTTTCCAATCATTAGAAGCTGCTATCTCTCGCAAAAGAGATATTTGCAGCAAATATTGTGTATTAATGCTCGACGAGATATCTTTATCTTCTGATTTATCATATGATCAGAAAAAGGATCATATAATAGGATTTCAACAGGCAAATGGCAGGAAGCTTTTACTTGCAGATCTTGCACTAGTTTTTATGTTCAAGCAAATTAAAAATCGATGGAAGCAGCCTGTTGCTTTTTACTTTTCAGCTGGTGGAGTAAATAGTTCAGATTTAAAAACTCTCATTGTTGATATCTCTCAAAAAATATTTAGTATTAATAATTTAGCCACAGTTTGCGACCAATACTCCGCAAACTGTAAAGTTATTAATATGTTATTGAAAGACACCGAACACGATTTTAAAACTAAAACTCGAGACTGGAACGAAGTGAGTTTTGAAATTGATGGGCACGAAATAATTCCGTAGTTTTACCCTCCGCATTTATTGAAATGAATGCGCAATAATTTTGCAAAATATAACGTAAAGTTTACAAACTTAGACGAGAAGGAATATGAGCCTTCCTGGCAAGATATTGTAAGCTATTATGACTATGATGCAAATTGCAGATTGTTCCGGAGATGTTCTTCATTAACTGAACATCATCTCGATCAAAATAAGATGAAGCAGATGAAACTCAGCCTTGCAGCTCAAGTTTTTTACCAACGCAATGAGGATGGTCTACAGAACTCTACAACATTTCGAACTGGAGAATTCTTGATTTTTATGGACTGTTTGACAGCGTGAATGGATTGACTAAATTGCCAGTACGAGGTAAATTATATCGTTGTGCTGTTTCTAATCAATCACAGCATACAAAATTTTGGCATAAAGCTAGGAAAGGATTAAATTCAATACAGTTTATAAAGATCAGAAATTCTAAGAGAATATTAATCCCGCGCAATGAAGTCCTAATAATTTTAACGGATAGAGAGGTAAAATCCTCTTGGGAAAAGAAAATTGTATCGAAAGCATTTACGCGGCCGGCGAAGATCGGAGATGTCGTTTGGACGAAATCCTTCCTCAACCATGTGGTTGGGCTGTGTGCCGTATCCGATGCACACTATGGTTACGATATGAATGCCTTAGTTTTCAAAATATTAACGCCAAATTTGAAAAGGACGACACCATTCTATAGCTCATACATAGCGTGCGTTCGCGTTGGACGCTTACGCGCTGTAAGCGCGCTTACATGTGATTTTCATCGTAGTCCAGTCATTTTAGCATTTCGCCTCGGAATGTGAGATACCCATCTGTAAGTTTGTAAATAGTTGTATATTGACAACCTAAATGTTGTATCAAAACCTACATATGGTAGGCTGTACAATATTGTAGAATACAAAATTCTCTACAAATTTTGTTTGAAAAATTTTTTCATACAGTGAACCGTTTTCGAGATAGAGGGCGGAGAGCGCGCGGTCATAGCATCCCTTCAGGTCAACCGATGCCTTCGGTCAAAATCGCGCCATATATAGTTGATGAACTATCGATAGATCAATGATTATAAATATTTGTCAATTTTTATTAACTATTACATTATATTTTATCATTTTCTTAATGCCTTAAATCTAGATCTATTCAATAATACTGATCACCGTTTCCTAAAATTAAAAATAATTAAGGAAAAAACTTAAATTATAATATGATTATTGTCCCATAAACACTCTTAAAATTTTAAATAGAGTAATCATTAATCATTACTCTTCCAAAGAATTACTGTCAGCAAACAATTTGAAAGTAACCTTGAAGAATATCTTCAATATGAATTGAGTCCCTATCCAACAGCTCTATTTGATAATAATGGCATGAGAAAAACAACAAAATTGTCATTGTATGACAATATGAGCCCAATAATTGATTTTGTTCTCAATGAAAATAATGTGGCGTTCATTATTGATGGCGGATTTCTTCCTCATCATGTTGTATGGAGCAGAGAACATACTTTTTCTATTATTTTCGATGAATACATAAATTATTTACAAAGGCATTACAGGTCCAAAATAATTGTTGTATTTGACGGATATTCAGACTACAGTAAGAACGTAAAAGCTGTGGAGCAGCTGAGAAGAACTGCACCTTCAAAATCATATGAAGTATGTTTCGATAAATCAATAGTTGTACCAGTTTCTCAAGAATTTTTTTCATCAAATCAAAATAGTAAAAATAGGCTCATTAACATGTTAATGGAAAATTTAAAGGCTGAAAATATAGCTACTAAACAAGCCAGAGA